TAAAGAAAAAACTGACTTATCTACAGAAGTGTTTAGCGAATAGCTTTACCTTTTGCAAGGATTTCCATAACCTCTACAATTTACTCGAGCTTTCGCTTTATTTAAGATATGAGTATCAGCAGATACCAAATATCGTATTTATATAATATCTCTGGATAACTTTAACCTAACTTACGATATGGGTGTGAGAAAATATTGTTTTTATATAATATCTGAAGATTTCGCAAGTGCTTGTTTCATTTACGATATGGGTGTCAGCAGATATATCGTATTTTCATAATTTCTGTTGCTTACTTAAGTGCCCATTTCACTTACCATACGGATATTAGCAAGTATATCAAATTTATCTAATTTCTGTTGTTTACTTAAGTACCTACTCATTTACAGTATGGATATCATTAACTATATCGTATTTTCATGATTTTTGTTATTTAGTTAAGTACCTACTTCACTTACGATATGGGTATCAGAAGATATATCGTATTTTCATAATTTTTGTAGTTTACTAAAAGTCCTACTTCACTAACAATATGGGTATTCATACATTAACTCAGCTAGATATTAGCTCATTTTAAGTAACTGTAATAATCTATATAACTTTTAAACTGATTAACGGAGTTAAGGTGTATACTATCATCAACATTTAATTTATTGTGATTGTAGTAGTATGTGGTATGTGCGAATACAAGCATATACTGAAATTTTAATGGAATAAATCTAAGAGTAATCCTTCACCATCACTTAAGTATAATCACGTTTTCAGAACGTCTTATATTGTGCCATAACTTGCATAAAATTATTTTCGAAGGACTTGAGCGTTCTTATTATAAATCCAACGTGTGAAAAGAAACAGACACTAAACTTAGCAACCTGTTAAGATTTTTATTGAGTAAATACATTATATCTTTCCTTTATCAGGACTTTTTATACAAATGTGCACTTTCTGTATGTTTTGTTGCGGTTGCAATTTTTCACATACAAAACAAACGAGTCGCAGTAGTGGCACCGGCACCGGCACCGGCAGCGGCACCGGCAGCAGCAGCGCTCGAATTTGCCTCCAACGTGTGAGTTTCAGTTAATTTTATGCACAGCACGCCAAACGCGCACACACCGCATGCGACCGTAGAAGCTCGTCGGAATAAACTCCTCTGAATTTATATCTGAGGAAGTGTGAATGTGCATAAAAGGTGTCACCTCTACGTGCAAAAGCAAGCGAACACATTCGCTCACTTGTGCTGTCTGTTGAATGAGTTCTTTTTTTCTATTTCAGGTCACAATCAACCAGATGTGCCTGAGCCGGA